CTTGACAAATGTTAATGTTTGCACATTGCACATTCTGTTACACGGAAACATGTTGGTGTGAGACAGAAGCTACTGTGTTGCACCAAATGTAGCAAATATGAGCAACATGTAAGAAAAACATGTTAAAGCTTTCAGTGTTCTTGTGCTATCCTCTGTGATTTCCAAAGTAGAGTGCAAATGATTATGTGCATCCACACTTTCCTACGGAGGCAGGACTGGTTCCTCTGTAAATCCAGTCTGCCACAATGGCAGCTGATAATAAATGGTTTCTGCTCCACCTGCCTGTGCTGAAGCTTCCTGTGTTGATGATATGTATGATGCTTGGTAGGGTGGAGATGACAATGTAGGTGTGGAGGAAGTCAAATGCAGGTGTTTGTGGTTGTGTGTGTGTGTTGTGTGTGTGCGTGTCAGCCCAGGTGGGTGCTGACAGACCGGCAGGTAAACAGGCAGGTTGGTCTCTGATCTCACCTGTTGGAGCAGACACAGCAGCGCCTGCAGGGCTTTCGCAGCGGAAATATGTTCTTTATACGATCCTGAAAGGCAACCTTCTATTCTCTTTTCTTCTTGTTCATTTGTTCCATTCTCCTCTCCAAGGCTCATTCGGGTAAACACCCAGAAAATACACAAGGCACAGAATCAAACAATTGGGAGTTGGAAGAAAGAATGGATGAGAGTAGGAGGAGAAACGCCCCCAAGGTAGCAGCAGTGCAGGTGGGCTTGAGAAGGGCGGGGGGTAGGAGGTGACGGCAGTGTGTGTGTTTGTGTGTGACAGGAAGGTTTTTGAGTGTGTGCTGGCTTCATAAGGTGGTGCTTTGGGGGGAGAGGAATGTTACACATCCCAATTAGAACAGACCACCCCTATAAACTTTGAGGAAGTTATTCTAACCTGCAAGGCAAACACACGCACACACACACACACACACACACACACACACATACACACACACACACACACACACACACACACACACACACACACACACACACACACACACACACACACACACAGGAACAGCAGCTGTGGAGTTTAAACTCTGATATGAAGTGGCCAGGTGAGCAGCTCAAGTCTCAGGTTACATAGTCCGGAGGAAGTCTGTGGATTATCTCCTGTTTCTTATGTAATGTTTTCTTTCTGTTTAAGGTCGCTCAGTTTATTTTGGCCTTTAGGGCCCTGTGAGTGTTTTATGGTGGGTGGCTTATTGAGCAACAGGAAGGGCAAGCTCAGGAAGGCAGTGTGATAATGCAAAGGAACTTAAATCTTTTAAGGTTTTACAGCAAAGTGATTAATGGAAAGAAAAGCCTTATTGGCAAAAGTTTTGTCTGTTCCTATTCTCAAATTAAACTGTGGTACAAGTTTTAATGAAAGAGATGGCTTAGGATTTTTTGATTGAGGTTCTGTTAAAGGTTATAATCAGCAAATATCTTAAGTATAGATGATACTCTTCACCTCTTCATTTAACTTGGCAAAAACAGCATTTCCTTATCACGTTCATGGAATGATCTATGAAAGGTTGTTAGATTAAAACAAATACCTAGTCATTATTGAGTTAATCATTTTTTTTTTTTATTTCATTTGTGTTTCTGTTTATTGTGTATTTGCATGGTTACTACCTTGGCCAGATCTCCAGTGTGTTAGAGATTTTGAATCTCTGTCAGACCTTTTGGTTAATCTTCTGGCTACCCTGGAAAGTTACTGGGTAGTCTGTGAAGCTGTAGACGAGTTCAACAATCTAATGGCTTATTTGCAAAACTAATGGCTGGTCCAAGAAGACATTGGTTTGACAGAGTAGCTTATAGCTAGTCTGATCTTCTAGTGGCTATTTTCAGAAGCTAAAAGCTAGTTTCAGAACTTATCCTGCATAACATAAGTATCCTGTATACTTATGTTATGCAGGATAAGCTTGTAGAAAAAGCTAACAACTAGCTAATAATAGAAGTTAACATCTGAGAAGCTCTCAGGTAGACTGAGAATGGTCAAGACCAAAGGGAACCTTTGCCTTCTTAAAACAACTCTGTCAAAAATGTTATAGCAATCTGTGGAAATAGTATTTTATTAACCTTTAACATTTGACATTTGCACTGGGGAAATTGTGCAAATGTCACAGTGGAAATTGCTGAAAATTTGAAAGGATATGGAGAAGATGTTGTTGCACCAATGATCATTCTGCCTCAAACAAGTGGTGAAAATGAAATATATAAAGCATTTCTGGTCAGAGTGACTGCCAGAAAGTAAGGCAATGTATAAATCAAAAATATCTTCTATTGTAACATTCTTTACTTTTTACAGTTGCTTTACTTTTGACTGCAATCACTTTATCTGTTCTGGTCTCAATATGTGTTTTACACAAAGCCTCCTCCCTGCAGGTACCATAAAAAATCACCTGCTTCTCAATATAAACATAGTGGTTTAAAGGTCCACAAAATAGGATGTCTACAAACTGCCTTGGTGTACTTGAAAGTTCATTTTGTTTAAGCTGCATACGTCAGGTTTGGTCTAAGTTCCCTTCTTTAGCTTCTAGGATTAGTTGGATTTATAACAAATGAATATGCCAAAAATGTTATGCAGGATAAGTATGAATTTCTAATAAACTTTAAACAAAACTTTGTTAAAGAAAATCCTGAACTACCTTTCTACTTATTCTTTATTTGTGTAGTACAAAAAACCAACACAACAGCCAAGTATATTTAACAATATATATTTCCATTGTCAATGTACATTCCATTTCAACATAAGCTTTCTTCACAAACAAAAAGTTGGCATCTAAATAAATACTATATAAAATAGAACTTCAAAATAAATATATCTATAAAGGGAACCTTTTATATGAGAATTTTTTTCTTTTTGTAATATCTAAACAAACAAACCAACAAAAAAAGCACAAATCTCATTTCTCAATCCCCAACAATGTCATTGGAAAGGTACAAAGGAATGGAGTAGCAACTGTATGATAGTTTTCCTTTTATGTGAAAAATATAAACCAGGTGACATTGGTATGTAGAACTGAAAATAAACTACAGATTTAATTTCAATATAGTTGTTGGTGATGGTTTTTCACACCTTGAACAGGCCATTGAGCACATAATAGTAAAAAGATCTACAAAGAAAGGCAGCAGTTGTTGAAAAGAAAGAGGTCCAACCGGTGATAAAGATTAACACAAGTCCAGGTAAAAACAAAGGTGAGAAGAGGGTAAAAAACATCAAGAAAGCAAGAGGGGTGAGAGTATCAGACGTGTGTGTCTCTTCTGTTTCTCTGGTATGACAAGTTTATGAACAGCAGCTGTGTTTGTCAATCAAGGCAGGCCAGGGGTGTTTGTTGGACTATTTCCCACAGAAGAAAGGAAGGAAGAAATGCATGAATGAAAAAAGGAGCAGAGAATGGGTTGATCAGGGTAGACTGTGTGGATTCAATGAATCCAATGTCTTTAGGACTTGGAAAGGGAATTAGCTTAGCCTCTCGACTGCTAATGAGCCATGGATAGCATAATCAGCAGGAGATTTTTTTCTACTTTTTTATTATTGCTGGGCACACTTTTCTAAATCAAGTGCAAGTGGTATAAAGTCATTTTGTTTCTCAAACCCTCCTTCTACTGCACTCATTTTCCTCAAAAACATCTTATTCTTACCCTCAAAATATATATCTAATATAGTCTCTAAATAGTTTGTACTGAATTGTGGTTATAATGTACCATGCAATCTTCCGAGGACATTTAAAAGTCTCTTCTAAAGAACACAAATGTTGTGAAACTATTTACAGCAAATAACATTTCACCTTCATAGCTCTACTACTAAATACATAGTCAAAACATTTGTGATTTTTGCTGCCCCACCTTCCCCCAGGCACACATTTGCTCTCAGTTTTGGCACCTATCTCAGACTGAATTGCTAGGTTTTTTGAAATATTGCCTCGTACATTCAATACCAAGGACCACATGTGGATGTTCCTGCTCTCCCATTTTTCTGAATGATATTAGCTTTCACCAAAAAGCCAAATACAAGTATGAGCACAGTTTGGCACCCTAGTGGAAGATAAGGGTCCAGCTTGTGGGTTATGGAGCCACAAAGCAAATATGCCGTGATGCCAAACGGAAACAGCCACCTGTATTAAAGGGCAATTCACCTTTAACAACCTGCCACTGTTAACTATTTGGCAAAAGGGCATCATAATAACTGTGGTCACTTAGACTGTGAAAACATGCTACTGTATAATAGCATCCTTTGGCAAATTCCTAAGAACATCATGCAATTCACAAAAATAGACTTTAAGAGTAAAAGAGAGACTATTTCACACAATCAGCTATGCAGCATACTGATTTGACTTTCATGAAGACACAGATGTGCGTAGAGGTGGATGGGTGTATGTGTGTGAGTGGAGTAAATGTAGTGAAGGCCAAAGTAATGCAAGATTGCTTAGGTGGTTAATACTGTGCTTTAGTACATCCTTTAAGAGGGGTCCTAAAAACAAGGTTGTGCAAGTGGCAGGTTTGATATTGACAAAGGCTGACTGGATACAAACACAATAACTTTTTCTAATCCTTTCCTCTTCACCTTTACCTTCAGCTTGACCCTCTTCACCTGCATCCCTCTCTCCTTGGGAAAAAACCCCCCAAAGTTCTATGGCCCATTTGCCTCTCACTTAGCCTGCGTGTTTTAAATTATTCACTATTGCCTCTTTCACCTCTTAAATGTTTTCTTTGCCGTTTTTGTGCAAAGAGGAAGCAGACCAGGCTCTTGTAGGCAGTTTTAAAATTCAACATGCAGTAGGCCAAGTTCAAGAGGAGATTATTGTATAACAATCCCTGAGAAGGTTGGTTGTTTTTTTTTCCCTTTTGAATCTTTTTTTTTTTTTTTTTTTTTTTTTACATGTTTCTCTACCACAAATCCACTTCTAGCACGGTGGTTAACCATTAGACTAGAGCATGCAGATCGTGACATGCATTACATCTGAGGTGGAGCAGTGAACAGCATTCAAAATATTTCAGAAGGTCTAAGCTTTACCAGCCATAAAATGAATAAAAAACAACTGTAAATTGATTATTTCTCACTTGTAGCACACAAAAAGATGAACGAAATATGGAAAATTACTGTTAGGTCTAAAAAGGGTTGCTTTCACAGATCCCCCTGTTCAAATAACAATCTAGAGATAAATGTCACCAAGCTAGCCTCGTTTAGCATAACTGCAAAATTAAAAGATGGTGAAAATCACTTTTGAGAGGAAATTATCTCTTGTAATGGCCCATCGTAAAAGCCACAGTATTCAACAGTTAACCACTTGCTTTCCTGAATGACACTGGGCTGTGCTTTTCTAGATGGCTGGGGTTGAATACAGAGGATCAGCAACCAGTTTCTGTTTACTTGGCATTACAAAAAATAGCTGGAAAATATTGAGCAGCAGAGAGGTACGACTTTGTGCCTTCAGCCATTTTCTTTAAAACCCAAACAGAAGGCCACACAATCTGGTCTCTTCTTATCGTCACCCTTATAGAACATGAAAACAAATCCCTCACCAAACCTGTTAGCTGTTCCACTTTTAAATGGCCCATTTTAATCATTCATGCTATCAAACATAGGCCAAGAAACCATTTAAGTACCATTGTTTTAATAGTCATGTTCCAGCAGATAAATATGGTGGTTTAATGGGGTGGTGTTGCCTTGTCCAGTCCATATTAACCAAACAAGTGGGGTCCTGTCCATTTTCTTGCAAGGCCACAGCCAGCTAGTTGAGTCCACTATCATGACCCCTGCTGCTGCTTTTCTGTCCCAACGTTTGCTTCCACCCCTCCATTTTTACTGACAGGGATGCTCATGCCAGCCTGCGAGTTCTTGCAGCGACAGCCAGGCCTGCTAACATTGTCATAACACTTCTGTCCCAGCTTGGCCAGTCCCGTAGCTGGTAGGTAGCAGATTAGGCATGGCAGGACGACAGAGAGGGCGGCCATAAAAGACCAGCGTGCACAGCAGTTGGCTTGTGAACATGAGCAGGGCTTGTCGGCACAGGAGCCCTCGTCGTCCTCGTCCTCGGTGCAGTGATAGAAGATCCCTTTGACTAGGCACATGCAGGTGGCTGTGTCTACCAGGCTCTGAGCCGAGCACAGGCACTCCTGGTTGCAGACCCAACAGGAGGGTAAGGCTCGGGGGAGCGTGCACTCAGTGCATCGACACTTCCCACAATGCTCGCAGACAAATAGGTGCTTCTTTTCGGTTGGAGAGGAAGGGATAAGCGCCAGTCCTTGTTGAACCCCAGTGGAGCACACGCCTCCAGCAGGAATCTTTGCAGACTTGAGGTCAAGTGATTTTGAGGAAGAGGAGCAGGAGGAAGCAGAGGAAGAGGAGGTCAGGACTTTAGATTGAGAGGAAGAGAAACAACCAGGAGTTCGGGTTGTGACGGTGTTGATGGGGCCCTGGTGATTGTTTGAGTTTGGGTGGTGATCCACCGTCGGTGTCGGTGCTGCATGGTCCAACAGCCGCTGATCGGAAGAGGTACTGCTGCTGCTGCTAATAGAACTGGGCCTGCCACTGAAGGAGATCCAGGGGTGGGTGGTGGTGTCTGGGTGAGGGTGAGACTCACACCGGCCATGCTGATGGAGCTGATGTTGGTGATTATGGTGATGATTATGGTTGGCCCCAAGGAAGGCCTCCTGATTTTGACCAAGCCAGGTGATTCTTCGGTTTGCTGACTTCTGGCTCACGGGCTGCTGAGCCACAACAGCTGGACTGTCAATGTAGTCATTCTCCACATGTGATGACTTTATCTGGTCAATGGGATAAATGGTGAGAGGATGCTGAAGACGACCATAGGGCACTCGACTATCCAGCAAAGGCTGAGAGATAAGGGAAGAAGACACTCCGGGAATGTGGTGGGGAACCCTGGACTCCATGTGTCGGCTGGTGCCTTGCACGTCTTCACATTAAAGCAGCATTTAGTGATACTGCAAAAACAGATACAAGAGATTCCATTAAAACAAGCAACAAGGGCTTCCATGATACTATTTATTTACACTGAAACTTATAAGGAATAGGTTCTAAGTATTTTATACAAGAGGTGATGTAATGTCTCAAATCTACAAAGATAACAGTTGACAAAAGTTGGACTGTTATGCTCTTCAATGTAACCTCCCATAGGCTTACTGAAAATCAAATATGCCATTGCTTTATGTAGAAAAAAAATATTAAAGTACTGAAGTAAAGTTTTTTATTTTTTTTTTTATTTTTTTTTACCTTTGTGCAACTTCTTTACACTCAGTATTAGTGTCTGATCAGGATGCTATGTCAAAGTGAATCAGTAGCTTCTAATTCCCCCCATAGGTTTCACAAGACATTTGTCATACATGTTTCAATTTGTTTACTTAAAACAGAACAACTGCAGCTAGAAATATTCTTAAGGTTTTGTTATATAACATTTTCTGGTTGTTAAGGTTGCAACCTATGGTGATTTTTAGAATGGGACCAAAGGACTTTAGTCTGAACCCCATGTCTTCTAACTTTGACATTAGCACAATAGAAGTTGGACTCTCGTCCTCTCCCTCACAAAAAAGCAGAGAGCTCCACAGAGCAGGACTTGCATGTAAAAGACTCAAAGATGCAAAACAAAGCAGGGAGGAGAAGAAATTAGAAACTTGCCAGAGAAGCAGAACTGAAAGCAAGAATTTAGGTCGTGTAGACCCGCTTATCAATAACTCCTTCAGCTTTCATAATGTAGCTGGTGATGTAATTCCTTAGCACACTTTACAACCACAAATCCGAATCAGAGAAAATGATCAGTCTCGGAATTTGTGAATGGGGCTGATTTTATGAACCAGCAGGTGTTTTTATGAATGGGACCTGCTGTGCTGCAGGCAGTAAGAGCGATGAATCAGTGCGCTCCATTTATGCTCAGTGAAATCAGCTGCATCCATTTCCTCCATGAGTGCTCTACGTCAGGTAGACCCCCACTGATAACTGATGGAAGTAGAAATAGAGCAAGAGCAAGCACGATTTGCACTAACCTACATCTCTGCTCCCTGCTATTATGTCAGTCATATAGTTGGCACACTGATCTGCTGTTTTTGTCCGAAAATGTGTCATTACTTCACACTGTTATGCTCCTGTAGCTGTATCCCCAGATCATGTTATTCGCCTCCCTCTAAAGGGTCTTAAAAAAAAAAAAAAAAAAGCCTGGCTTGTTGTGAAACCTGTTGCGACATTGCTGGCAAAGGCGCAAGCGCTTGTGATCGTCAAAAATCAAGACCATTATGAGCTCCAAGCCGGAACTATGCGTGTGCAAGTGCGTACGTGTTTGTGAATGTGTGTGCGTGTGCGCGCGTTGCTCCCTTGGAAATGTGAATGGACTGAGTCATAAAACCGGAGGCGGCCGTTCGGTGTACTCAAATAGCGTGCGTATTGCTTATAAGTACTCGGCGTTTTCAATCTTATTTTGCAAATAATTTAAAAATGACAAAGGTTTTAAAGAAAGCTGATCACTGTGTTCCACAATCGCACATATCCCTAGCAAACAAATCCGGACGATGCAATTCAAAATTCTTAATAAAGTAATATAATAATACCCAATAATAACAAATGTATTATCAGACGCGTAACGTGAAACGAGGGTGAAAAGGGTGATTGAAAAAGGACTTAAGCGAAGTGGTGCTCTCTGCAGAGCCAGAAGGACCGACGCGACTGAACACGAAGCCTCATTTTTAAACACAGGGAGCGAAAATTTAGCAAATTTAAAAGACGTCATAATCGTGATAGATGCAGAAGTGCACATCTGCACCTTATTCGCTTCCCTCTCTCTCCTTTGCCTTAATCTCGCGTTTGCTCCTAAAACCGGTGGTTAAATATTGACTTAAACATGCAAACACAGGTTCTGTGTCAGTTTCTTAAAAAAAAAAAAAAAAAGAAAGGAAAAAAGGACGTTACTCAGGAGAGCCATGTCGCGCCTATATCTTATACAGGATCCGACGGACTGAGGTGGCTAAGTTAGAGCAATGGATCTGAGACAAGCCAGGCTATGGTGTCGCTGGATCACGACTTCTAAACATGTAAGACAGAGAAAACATCACTTACCGTGGGTATCAGGACGCAATTCTCATCTCTTCGTTACGCTCGACGTCTGCTCGCAGGTTTCTCTATAGTCCACTCGGAGATTGGTGGCCGGTGGTGCGTTAAGTATTTCCAAAGACGTTAACTCCAAAAGGAAAGCCGAGCGGCTCTTTCAGCGCTTTCCTCTCTGCTGGGTTGGTGCATTAAAAAGGCGACTGCGATCGAGGACGCAGAGCTGTGGATATGATGTTGCAACCACTGAGGGGGAGGGAAGTGAGTTTTTATGAATGGGAGGGTAGAGGAGAGGAAAAAGGGGGACGGCGCTGTGCAGATGCCTCCGTTTTTTTCATTTATTTTTTCTGAATGGGAGGGAAGAACAAGTCGGGGAGGGCTTGAAATGCGGAGGTTACATTTTTATGAATGGGGAGGACACCGAATTGCACTGCGCACGCGCGAAGCCCGGATTTTTATGAATGGGACGAAATAGCGAATGAGGCGTGTGTGTTTGTGCGTGGGGAAAAAAGAGGGGTGGGGGCTTTTTTTGGTCACAAGGACAATGTCATTCCTGATTTACATATAGGTTTGACTTTCAAATTATTCATCAAGCTTTAAAAAACATCAAATAGAGACGAATTTAATAATATTTATTACCAGCGAGTAATTTTAATTTTAAGTAGATGTAAATTGAGAGGACAAAAATATGTTTTTCTGAGTATTTATCTGAATCGATAGAAGTCAGTTTTTAAAAACAGAAAAAGAGAGGACATCTGAAGGTGGTTGTTCAATTTTAAGACACATTTTATTGACAAGGATGTCAAGATGCCAGAGGCCACATGGCTAAACTGGATTAGCCCGAATAATAGCCGCTCCCCTCTTGGGTTCCTGTTCTATCTAAAGCCATTTATTGCGAGCAAAGACGTGTCCTTCCTTCCTCTGCAACAATGTGAGGTATGACTATACAGCTTCCACTGTAGTGTAAAAAAAACAGGCGGTGGTGAGGAGAGTGTGTGTGCGTGTGTGCGTGTGTGAAACGCAAACCAGCATGAGGGCAGGCAGGATTCACAAAAGGACAGGATGTTGTTGATTTGTACCGAAACCACACGGAGGAAATGAGTGTGAATTTCCTTTCTCTCTGTGACATAATGTGTGTGTGTGCGTGTTTGTGTGTTTGTGTGTGTGTGTGTTTCCCCCGAGCCCCCTTCTCGCCCCCCCTCTCCCACTCAGCTTGGGGCTTTTAACCAGTCAAAGGTTAACAGTTGCCCCATTATCCGTTTGCACGCATCATCATGGCAGCCACCACACCGCCAAATTGGGATTATTGTTTTTGAACAAAGCCGGAGTGAAGATAAGGGAAGAAAAAAAAGGAAGGAATGAAAATTATTCTAGTTTCAGACTGGATGGAATGGCAACTGAAAGTAAATTTTAAAGCGGAGGGTGAAGTGGAAGCTCCCCTTCAACCCGACAGAGCAGCCCTCCTCCACACAGCTCCACCAGAGTCTCTCTCCCTCTCTCTCTCTCTCTCTCTCTCTCTCTCTCTCTCTCTCTCTCTATATATATATATATATATATATATATATATATATATATATATATATATATATATATATATATATATATATATATATATATGTGTGTGTGTTTCCTCTGTAAACCAATGTGAAGTAGGAGGAAAATTATTCTTGGTTTACATTTTTTAGGAAAAATCTCAAAAGAGCTACATTCAAACAAACTATTCCTGATCTAGTAGTTTGTAGAAATGTAGTGTTATGTTCCTATATTCACTTTGCACACTTACTGACTGTATGCTCACTGACACCTCCACCCAAGCCTCCACCCAAGACTCAAAGCCTTTTGGCCTCTAACAGGTTTTCTTCCACCCTGCAACAGAAAAACACCCTTAAAGCACAATGCTGCCACTGCCATGTTTCATAGTGTGAACAGTATGTTCATAAAATCTAAATAAAACAACATTTGTAATTCTAAGATGGGAACGCATTCCAAGGGTGTAAATATGAGCTGCACAACCTGTTGTTGTTTTTTTTCTTTTCTTTTATGCAGTTATTGGAGTGACTAATATTTTGAATAACATTTCATGGTTATTCAATTGAATTGTCGGCGGCTGGGTGTGCAAGCCATCATTATCTTGACATTTTTTTGTGATACTTTATCGTGTTAGTACAGCTTCAAAAGTTGCTACATGTGCCCAAAGGAAATAATTTGTATGAATCAGTTAACTGAAAATATGTAATTAGAGATGCAAAACACAACAAGTGACTGCATAGCTTCAAAAACAATTNAAGAAAATAAAACCAAACAGGAAGCAAAAGTAAAAGAAGTTAATAAAAAAATTGGATGCTTCTGCGGAAAAGACCAATGTCTTTTTTATTTTACTACTAGGGAGTATGGAAATTAACAGCTAAATGTTTTTGCTCCTTTTTATACATAACCTATTGATGTCACTGCAACATTTCTTGCTGAAACAGGAAGCTATAAAAGTAGCAGTTTCAGATTTTCATGAGCTGTGCTTAAAAATGTGGGATATTTACCATAGGTTGATAGTGGTAACTCTTTTTCTTTGAGATAATTTTTGTGATGAATGCAAGTTGAAGCATTGCAGAGGATATAGCTCTAATTTAGATTGTTATTAACCACCTAATTATATAATAATGTTTCCTGCTGTGCGTCATGTGCTGTCACGCTGTAAATCATCTAACTTTGTCACTGAAGTGTGAAATACTGAACCTTCTGCAGGGTTTTGTTTCTGAACTTTATGATTTCATCTGGAAAAGTTGTTGTCCTTCACTTTGGATTGTGTGTTTTCTGTTGTTTACTGCTGCCGTATAAAAGTTAAATAAAATGTGACTTTGTAATACTAGTTCCCAGCAAACATAAAAAAAATGACACTGTGGAAAAATAAAAGGCCATTCTGCATGTTTTCTTTATGCTTTATGAAAATGTGGCTTATAATTTGTGGTGATATCGTGAACCATAGAAAGCCTACTAAAACTAAAACAGCTGGATCTGAGACTGAACTGCTAAAAGAAACATGTTCAACAACCAACAACAAAAAATATTTAGAAGATACACTGTATGAAAACAAACTGCCGTATAATACAACCCCTTCCAGCCCCCCCATCTATCATCCTTTCACATTTCTGTCTCCATTTTTCTTTCTGTCTCCTGACACACAGATGTGCAGAGATGCACAAAGATGTACTGTGGATACGTTCAGATTTTCTTCTGCAGCTGTGTGGCTCTCAGGCACGACCACAATGAAGTGCTGGTTGGATTGTAGATTTCTCAGCGGTGTGATCATCTGGGTAGACACGCACAGAAGGGAAGGTCCAGCTCTCTCTCCCTCTCTCTGGAGTCCTCCCTCCAGCCTCACCCACAGCCACATCTGCTGGCTACTGCTGTGAGGCTCCGATTGTAATGGACAGCCCCATCTGGCTGCGAAACAGATTGACCAATGAATTGCATTTCTCTCATCAAAGTAAATGTGACAAAATTACTTTAGAAAAGCTTTAGAAAAGCTTTCATATAAAAAATATTTTTTGAGGGGAACTCTTTCTTCTTCGTTTTTTAGAAAATGCTTATTTTACAAATGTCTCACACTATTTCTAAACAGCTAGATACTAGATAGTAGTTTTGGTGTCTGGACACCAAAACTCTTTTGATTGTTTCAAACATCTAAACACCCAAGAATGGCTGATAACGACTCAGTCTGTGTGTTTATTCATGTGTGAGCACAGGGTGAAAATGTAAATGACAGTGACAGCTTATCAAAAGCTTCCTTTTGCAGGTAAGCCCATCATTTATCCTCCTCCCTTGTTGCTTCACAATACACATTTCTCACCAATTAACATGTGTGTAGGACACTTGTAGTGCCACATCTTGTTTTTCTTTTTAATTTAGAGCTTTTAAAATGCATTTCACAGCAGGTCAGCGATTCTGTGTGCTTTGTCTTACTGAGAAAACAAAATCTCAAGAAAAAGCCAAGTCACAACTGTAACATCAAACCTAGATTACTGTAAAACTGTGAGGCAGAAAAACACCACAGAATGTACAGTAGAGCAAAATTCAAGATTCTTTTTCATTGTGATTGTGCGGATATACATTATGATTTTTATTGAACTAGCTTAAAAGCAGCCCTTAAAACAGAGCTGTAAATAAAGAAAATAATCTAAAATAAATCTGACACGTGTACACATACTATTCTGTTACACAGAGACAGTATATTTTAACGTGCCAAGATATTGTGTGAACAAAAAGATAACTAAATAAAGTGAATGTTACCCCCAAATTAGACTAGAGAAAATATTCTGTAAACATAAAAATAAATGAAACATGAAATAGAATCACTATCAGGTTAAAGTGCCAGCAGATTTGTGAACAAAGATAAACTTAAATTGAATAAATGTCATTGAGTGATATCTACTTTGTTTTAAAACTGTTCAAGAGCCTGGTGTTGAGCACTTTTTAACATCTTTTAACATCTGTGACCGGAAAAAAGGAAGAAGCTCAGAGAGATGGTGTACGGGGTGTGAGGAGTCTGTGAGATGCGTTTTGTTTTCTGAAGGAAGTGGAAGGTGAAGATGTTATTCATAACAAGCAGGTGTGTGTTCATTGAACTGTGTGGTAGCTAAATGAGTGTGTGTGTGAGTATAGGCAATGATCAGAAGGATGTGCAAAAATGAATGTGTGGAAAAATTTTGAGAAATTAAAAAAAAAAGTTAGACGTAAATTGCATGATGTTAGTTGGAAATAATGGATGTATTGAACGTTATGATGTATAGTTACAAAAGTCATAAAAAATCAGTAACATAAATTAATAAATAAAAGCATTATATTGGGGGAAAAATTGTATTTGATCCACTTTTGATGCAGCTGGGTGGATATGTCATAATACAAACTAAATCAGCAGCATCCATTATCAACGTCACAACCAGTGATAACAAAATGAACAAATAAAATTACAGTTTAACTTCCAAGAGGATAAAAAAGACTAGAGTGAGAAGCAGAACTTGACTGTGATGCCAGGTAGCTCCACTCTTCAAATACAGACTTCCTTCCTCGCTGCCTGCCTGACCAGGCGGTGTGTTTGTGCTTTGGAGCCAGAAGAAATGTGTGGTGAGAGGAGGAGGAAGGGGGGCGTCTGTGTGACTGTGTGAGTCTGTGTGTCCACATCCATCAAAATAAAGAATTTTGATGGCTTTGGCCTGCCCTTATTGCACCATAATAGGATACATTAGATCTAATTGACTTAGTGAAAAAGAATCCTGTGAAAAAAAGTCACAAGATAAAGATAAAA